TTGATTTTTCTGAAAATCGACACTGCCTCTTATAATCCTGTGTGCTTTATGTATGAATTCTGGTTGTGTTTACTGACCGGAAACGATTTTATGTGGTACACGGCGCTGAAAAATCTGTCAAATGTTTTAGTACGACTTTGCTAAGCTATGAACCCGCACCGCTTGATGGATTGTCGGAGCATTACGGCAACCGTAGGCAGGAGCCTCGTGGAGTGATAAGTACTGTGCTTCAACATAATATTACCGTATTTTGTGTGTATAACCTCTTTTTAAGTTTTGTGGATATTATACATGGTTATGCTGAGGATATGTCGGCCAATTTCCACTGGAAATGCATTTGGCTGAACTGTCAGCAAGGAATTTGCATTTGCACAGTTACATTTTTTATATAACTTTAATGCACTTAAAAAAGCTGCTTGTTTAAGTGAAAATACATTGATGGTTTTTTATTTTTTTGCACTAATAAAGTTGAGGAGTTGTAAAGTATTTTGTCTAGTGTCAATTATATCGTCAGTTATATCGTTATGGCAAATTTTCAAATGTATATCGTGATAAATATTTTTGGTCACATCGCCCTGCTCTAGGTAGGGCAAGGGGGAGCCAGGACGACAGGTCAGGGGGTAGATATCATCACTCCCACCCGAGATTGGGTACCAAGCTCCAAGTACAATGGAAAAAGGAACTGAGTGCGAGAGGAAGTGACATTCAATTTATCATGTTTAATTTATCATGGATCAGGTAACAGGCCGCAAAACTTATTACTGAATTAAATTTTCAAGAGTTAATTAACTCTTGCAGCAATGTCAAACAACCCTTTTCCATGGTCATTTTTAAACTAAAAGGTACGCAGCGCAGGTAAACACTGGTCAGCTTCTCCAGTTAAATACAGTTTAACTGTGGCAGTTGGCAACTGTGGCATCAGATGCAGCTGTAGTCATTTTAGCAGAGAAATGACTCAAAGACAGATTATTGTTAGCAAAACCTGCTCAGCAATGATCAATCATTTCAGCTCTATACAAAACTGATCAGTCTTGAGGTTTATAGTACAGGCTGCCACATGAGGCAGGTTTCACATAAAGGCAACAGCCCACTTAGAACAAGAAGAGGTGTCAAGAGTCAAACTTCAAAACAAAAGTACAGAATTGCTCAGAATAACTTCACCTGTGTAAAGGTACACTCACACAGTTACAAGTGAACAGCATGCTGACGGATTTTCCCCAAACATCAACAGTAATTACTGCATAATGTCTTGAAGGGTAGCTTTCATAGCTCAGTGGTAGTTCATGAATGCATGACACCAATGTAATGATTCAGTAAAGCACTAGATGTTACAATCCTGGACAATGCATTGCTTTTAATGGAGAAAAACTTGAGGGATGGCTTATGAGGAAAGCAGCCCAGAAACTTTACCAGCAGCACACATCTTTGTGAGCCTCAACTTTCGTTCTTTTACCCAAGCTAGTCTGCCATTTTCCCTGGTTAGGTTTAGGGATTCGATTCTGATCTAAATTTTTAAAATTTGGGACACATCGTCAGTAGTAGACCTTGGATTCATCGGTAGAGGAGGCCAAAATTTATGCTTAACAAAATGGAGCAATTAAGTAAATATTGTTTTTTTAAAACAAACTAAATAATAGTGGCAGTAGTAAGAGAGTGGAGGGGTGGTGGTGTAAAGATCAAGTGTAAAACGTAACCCAATGTGTTCTCTTTTTGGAAACCTTGTGTTATCTTACTTTAGTTTTAATGTGTTTCTGGGACAAAGAGCACTCATTTACTGAATATTAAAGTCAGTGGTTCTAACTATTTGGGAAAATGCAATTAATGCCACTCACTTATTCAGTCTATTGTATTTTAGCTGACATCCCGCTTCACTCATCATGCGTTATTTGGCAGTGTTGTGAGCTGATAATGTTATCTACTTAAAAACACTCAGTGGATGCCCAAGCTTTTCCTCAGATGGACTTTGTGACATGTTTAAACTTTGTACATTACTTTAAATAAGTACACTTGTTTGTCCTTGGGAGACCCATCTGTGTCTCTACCATGAGCTCAAACACGAGACACCACACCAGAGTGACAAAAGCTAATGACAGCATGTGTCAGATTTGACAAAACTGATGAGGGAGCCAGCCTTTGTGCAATTTCTGAACGGCCCCCCCGCCGGGCCCCCACACACTCCCAGAGTGATGTTGCGCACGGGGGCAGCGTGACCTTCCTGTCACCCATTCGGGCAACTTTTAAGCCCATAACTACGAGAGTCACAATTTCACAAAAATCACGCATCAACCATGAAAGAAGCTCGCACCGAGTTGCGTACGCCGTTTGACAAAAATAAACCGGTGTCTGATTCTGTCTGCCAAACAGCCTGTGACACTAACGCCGCTGTCGAGGCTGTGATGACAAAATATCTTTTGGCACGTATGTGCACCTTCAGAACCATCACTCCGTCTGTAGCTATTCACCATGCCCGTTCGCTCAGCGCTGCTGTCACTTTACCACGACTTTCAACTCGGCGACACACTGAGGAGTTCAGCCCGTAAATTACATCTTATCCATTTACTACAGTCGTGAAGAATTATGACAAAGTATATCAAAAGCGACATAAAGTATAAGCTTAAATTAGGCAATCTTGTCTTTGCCAAGCTTGAAAACGGGTTAGTTTCGCCTGTTAAAGGGCTTAGGACACCGCTTTTTGCATACGCGACGCCCTTCCCTTTACTTCCTAATTCCATTATTCGTCAATATTACAGAGCATTTTCCTTAGGCATGTTTTTATCCTACCTCGTAAAGGTCTCCTGAAGCCATTCTTGGGTGCAGACAGCGGCGGCGCGGCGTTCTTGCCTGCCTTGTTGGCTTTTTTTGGACCCTACTCTCTCGGTGTTTCGGCGAAAGCCCCGATAGACGGGAATTAGCGAGCAGCCTTGTTATTCTGAGCAATCCGCAGCAGCAGATCAGACAGTGTCAATCGAGCCCGGCGGATCGTTCCACGCTTAAAACAAGCAACCATCGGGGCGGTGCTGTTTACATATACCGAAGTACAGGACTAAAAATTAGTCCCGGACTAAGAATGTAGCCTGATGGTCTGCATGCGCCCAGCTCATCTGAGCTCTGTTGCAATCCACTCAGCGGGAGACGTTATACGCGTTGTGTTTACACACACCAGCTGGGTCAGATCCCTTTCTATGATCCCCTTTACCTGTCCACTGTGGCGTCATAGAAAGATCTGACCTACCTTATTTGTGTTCACCGGGAAATATCTAGAACAAGTTAAGCGGAACTATTTGTAATGATTAATCACTAGCTACTGATGTTGGTAGACCTTCTTACTGAACTTTGCATCAGCATCAAATATATTTAAAATATTTATTTATTTATTAATAAATAAAATGTAAAAAATAAAGCGAAACAAAAGGTTTGTTTTGCCCTGTTTCCAGGGGTTCTGATGGGTTCTCTCTGGGTCACCCAGCTTCCTTCTGAGTCTGGCACTTTTAAACTGGCTATAGAGCGTGAATGGCTGTTTGTCTCTCTGTGTTTGCCCTCCACAGACTAGCTACCTGTCCAGGGTGTGGCCATCTTTCGTCCCATGACAACCGGGTAGGAACCCCTATCTAAAATCTGAAGAATAACTGGTTGTTTGGCACAGACCAGGTCTTGATCACAACATCTTTCACAGAACCTTGGATGAATTTCCTTAGAGTATGAAAACCTTAGAGTATGAATGCTTTTTCAGCATTTTCATATCCGCTCTACCTTAGAGCAAATGTGAAAATGACCTGAAAAAAGACGCTGACTACAAACAGGAGAGTATTTTTCCTTCTCTAGGACTCTTAAGTTTTCAGTCATTATATGAAAATTAATCCAGAGTTGTATCACTTGAAACTGTTTTCAACAATATTTTATGGATTGAAACAAATCTGAAAATAAGCTGTAAATAAAAAAGAGCAAATGAACAACAAATTGCTCCTGTCAACTGAAAAATAGAAATCCACACTCCTCTAGTGAAATTCATGCAAGTACATGAAAAATAAAGAAATGAAAATTAGCATAAAAATATTATTTGTATTAGTTCAAAAGAAAGAATAATCCAAACACTGCATGGTTTAAACAGTTATTCTGTCTGACTTTGCGTCAGATCCAGATCTTTGAAGTTGGGGCCCTCAGACCATTTCAGATGTTTTTGTTTGTCTTGAAATGTATTTCATTCTTTCTAGTAAAATGTTCGATATTGCATGTCTTATTCAGTGTGAAGCAGCTGATTTCTAAGTTTTCCTTCCAAATAATGCTGTTACCTTTTTGGCAGTTACAAAACTGAGGTTTATAAATGTTTGTTCATTTCTGTTATAACTTTAATCTTTAGGATAAACACCGAATACAAATACTCTTAGGTATAGTGACAGTCCTTTTGCAATCTTTGCACTTGTCTCTTCCCAATATATTTCAAAATATTTCAGTGTTTCTACACAGTCACTGCATCAAGTGATTTTACAGGACAATGGCAGGCCAGACATTTTAAAACACTGATCACGTACACATTTGCACATGCTCATTACCTCTGTGTAAACGCTGAATAACACATAGTCTAAAAAGCTATAGGTCTCAGAAACCATATAAAAGGCAACAGAAGATTTGGATAATAACCCCTCCTATGTGTGCTGCAAAGCAAAAATATCTGCGTATAAAAGCGAATACTAACATTTTAACACATTTGTTCAAAACACTAAGAAGACCATCTCAATGTAACAAAGATGCAATTTGCCCCCATATTTTGTCCTTAATTTCTTGTATAACATACATACATACACAAATACTGCACTAAACATCTTTATGATAATACCAGAATTTTACTTTGTTGCAGTTATGCTTATAGGCCTTCATTAGCTAACAATATGATATGAGATTATGAACAGGATTATTTGTTTTTGCCTTGATACATATAACAGTTTTCCACTTGCGCTACAGAATACTAATAAGTCATAAAAGATTAGAATATAAAATGGACTTTAAGACATTTTTTAAAGAGGGAATAATCTTAAATTCATCCTGAATACTGGATATACCAAAGGAGAATCAACAAGTTATTACATCTAAGATTTTATTTACTTTCTCTGTCAGTCCTGGGGATGTATTTATTTAATGCGTATATTCAGGAAAAAACAAATATCATCACTTTTTGTGTATTTAGAGTTTGATACCAAGTGGTATATGAGGATATCACATTTAAGTTAAAATGAAACAGTAAAAACAAACAAACAATAAAACAAACAAAAAAAAAAGATAAAAAAGAACTGTCTTCTTTACTAATAAAAAACACCTTCCTCTCTTCTTAGCGTCTTCCCAGCACAGAGTACGCTGCGTGGCTCTGTCTTCTCCATTTGGGTCGGTCTTGGGTGACCTCTGGGGTGAGATCCACTGAGCGCATGTCTTCGATGATGACGTCCATCCACTGCTTTTTCAGTCTTCCTCAAGGTGAGCGGCCTCCAGTGTCGAGTTGGAGGGCTGTTCTTGACACCGAATTTTCTGCGCATGGCCATACCACTCTAGGTGCGCTTCCCTCATTTTCTTTTCATTGGGGCAACTCCTTCATTCGTCACATGATCCAGGCAGGTTAAGCCCACCATCCACCTGAGCATCTTCATCGCCGTAGCATTGAGGATCTGCTCATGTTTCTTGGTGGCTGGCCAAAAAAATCCCTTAAAATAGGTGAGAAATTACTAACAGTTGGGTTGTACTGGGATTAGCTGAAGTGTTAGCTTCAGATCATTTACATTTCCAAATACTTTGCAAGGGAAATGAATGCAGTGACATTTGGAAAAACTTGTGCAAACACTTGTGGAAATACAGTATGTAAGGCATAAACAGAGTGTGTGCAATTCTAACAAGCTTAAAAGTCTGAGATTTCTTAGGCAAGCTTTCTAATAATTTATTTAAGTAACCTTCGGAAATATCTCTCCAGGCTTCTTGACGGGCATTCAAAACTCTTCTATGGATGTTGGTTGCTTTTTGTTCTCTCTCAAGATGATCCCACAGTGTTTTAATGTTGAGGTCCAGGCTCTGGGGAGGCCAATCCATGACTCATAGTGTTCAATTGTATTTTTGTTCTATTCAGGTTTGCTTTTACTGCTTTGGCACTGGCTTCGGGATCACTGTAATGCCGAAAAATGAAGCTGCTGCCAATCAGACAGTGTCCAGATGGTATTGAAAAATAATGCTGAGGTCTGGGCTCATGACTGATAGTGTTCCAGTCAGTGTGTGTTTTACTATTCAGGTTTACTTTTATTGCATTGACAGTGTGTTTGGGATCACTGTCATGCTAACAAATCAAGCCAGTCAGACACATTTTAGACAGTATAGCTCAATGATTTAAACTGTGATGCTACTCCATTTTTGATAAGATCTGCAACACTAACTGAAATGCAACCTCAAATCATAGCAGAACCTCTACCATGTTTTAAATATGGCTGTAGACTCTCTACTGAACTCCTCTAAAGATTGATTGATTGATTGATTGATTGATAATACTTTATTCATCTCGAGGGAAATTGGGTTAAGGCTGCCAGCCTTGCCAGCGCCATCTTACCCTTCCGACCATACATTCATTACACAAACATCACATGGGGAAGACAGGTCAGAGAGGTATAATAATGGAAAATGCACAGCATGAGGAAAGTCATAAAGATAATGACTTGAAATGAAAAAAATAAAATGTGGATTAATCAGTCCTTAACATCCATTGTCACAAATTTTCAGTCCAGTTCTTGTGTTCTAATTTGGCATATCATAGCTTTTTCTCCTCATTTCCCATAGTTAAGAATGGCTTGTTGACAGCCACCCTTTCACTGAGGCCATTTCTGGTGAGGTTTCAGTAAACAGTAGCTGAATCAACGAAAGGCCAGCTGCATTTCACATGTCCTTTTTTTAGGTCTTTGTAGGAGTTTTCCCAACTATTTCTTAAGGACATGACTTAACAAGTTTTCAAGTTTTCAAGTTGTAGAATTTTGACCATATGGCCCAAAACCTCCAAACTTGTCCAGTTTGTTTCTTAATGCACAAGTTATTTCCCCCAGTGTTAGTATATATGTCCATGGAGCCAATGAGATAGTCCACATATTTTTTGATCTTTCCAGCACTTAGCAATACATCACTTGGCTTCCAAAAGTTCGATCGTTCACAGAGCTCTAATGTTTGCAGCAGGTACAAAATTATTCGGGTATACATTTAAAATACATAGTTTGGGATCAAGTGGAATCACATCACCAATGATTTGGCTTAACAAATTTATTACCTTTTCCCAAAACACTTCCACATGTGAGTACTCCCATATGCAATGAAACAAAGAGCCCCTATCCACTCCACACAGGTGTCGGGGATGTTTGGGATAAAATGATGCAATTTTGAGGGGGTAATATACTGTCTTGTTCACCATTTATATTGAAATAGTTTAGATTGTACATTGATTGTCTGATTCTGGGCCAAGGAGCACGATTTATACCAGTTATCATCAGATACATCCATTTGCAAATCATTCCTCCATGCCTCTAAAATAGACTGTGTTGATTCTTTGGAGTTTTCCATAAACATTTTGTACAATAAGACCTGCCATTTCTTCTTCTGTTTTCCGCTTTTTTCTTTTGTTTTTTGTTGACACACAGCACAGCATGCTGAGATATGTTTTAAACCAATATCTCTTTGAGAATTCTCCTGCCAACTTTGAAAAACTGGACTATGAGACTAATATAGAATATAGTTTTTAACCATATGAAGGTGACCACCTAGGTCAAAAAACTAGGTGGTCTTTCTTTGTATATTGCCAGGGATGACCTTGACATTTTTTCTCAAATTTTTTTTAAGGAGATACAGAATAACATGCTGAGATATACAGGGTTTCCAGCTGGTTTTCAGCTGTTAGTTGACAACTAGTTTAATAATAATAATA